GGTTCCCGATTTCTTCTCGGTTGGTTCCGGCAACATCTCCGACGATTCTTCGGACTCTTAAACGTCCATCGAACTTGACTCCGGTATTCTTACTTTGTGTTTTTTGGTTATCGTAGTTAATCCTGCACACTTAACTCAATAATATGGATTAGATCAATTAACCCATCAATTGATTTTATCATCAAAATCCAAGATTCAACAAAACAAACCTTAGAGCTCCCTTTGAGATATCTAAAAATCCACTTCACTGCTGCCCAGTGCTCTTTGCCTGGATTTGCAAGAAATCTGATAGTAACACCAACTGCATATGCGATGTCTGGCCTCGTACATACCATTGCATACATTAAGCTTTCAACTGCTGAAGCATAAGGAACCTTTTGCATTTTCTCCTCCTCATCACTTGACGGACTCTGCTCTGAGCACAACTTGAAGTGACCTGCAAGAGGAGAACCAACTAGCTTTGCATTGCTCATACTGAATCTTTCCAATATCTTCTCGATGTATTTCTCCTATGACAATCAAATCTTCTTATTTTTCCTATCACGGGAAATCTGCATACCTAGTATTTGTTTTGCTGGCCCCATGTCCTTTATTGTAAAAGACTCACTCAATTCCTTCTTTAATCTGTCAATTTTAGACATATCTTTTCCAAGAATAAGCATGTCATCAACATAAAGTAAGAGAATAATAAAATCCTCACCAAACCATTTGATGTACACACAATGATCTGAAGCCATTCTTTTGTATCCATTTTCTATCATAAATGAATCAAACTTTCTGTACCATTGTCTTGGAGCTTGCTTTATCCCATACAAGCTCTTCTTCAATTTGCAGACAAAGTTCTCTTTACCTTTAACTTTGAAGCCTTCTGGTTGCTCCATATAAATTTCCTCCTCCAAATCCCCATGAAGGAAAGCTGTCTTCACATCTAACTGCTCAACCTCCAAGTCCTGACTAGCAGCAATACCAAGAGCAACACGAATAGAAGATATTTTAACAACAGTAGAAAAAATCTCTTCAAAGTCAATACCTTTCTTTTGACCAAAGCCTTTCACAACCAATCTAGCTTTGTACTTTGGTTGAGAACAATATTCTTGAGTCTTCAACCTGAAAACCCACTTGTTCTTCAAGGCCTTCATTCCATTTGGTAGTAGCACCAAATCATAAGTGTGGTTCTTCTAAAGAGCATCCATCTCTTCCTACATAGCAACTAACCACTTCTCTTTCTGCTCACTTTCAACTACTTTCTGGTAACTCTCTGGTTCACCTGCATCAGTAAGCATCACATACTCATATGTAGAGTATCTTCTGGAAGGTTGACGTTGTCTAGAAGATCTTCTCAACTGAGGTTCTACTGGAACTTGCTCTCCTACTTCTTCTTGCTCAACATGTCCTGCAAGTAGATCAACGTCAGGCTGTACACCATCTTCCTGCACATCTCCCCCATCACTCTGATATACTGGAGGAATAATTGGGTCACAATCTGCTAATCCTTTTGTAGAAGTATTGGCTGGTGCCTTCTTCTTCAAATCTTCAAAAGTTTGATCCTCAAAGAAGACTACATCTCTGCTTCTAAACACCTTCTGCTTTTCTGGATCTCAAAGCCTATAACCAAAATGATCATGTGAGTAACCAAGAAAAATACATTCTTTAGTCTTACCATCTAGCTTGGACCTTTCATTATCTGGAACATGTGCAAATGCACGACAACCAAACACTCTCAAATGCTTGTAGGAAACATCTTTCCCTGACCATACATGCTCTGCAACATCACCATCTAGGGCTGTACATGGTGATAAGTTGATCATATCAACTGTAGTCCTTAAAGCCTCATCCCAAAACCTTTTGAGTAGCTTGGCCTATAAAAGCATACATCTGATCTTTTCCATGATGGTGCGGTTCATCCTCTCTGCAATTGCATTATGCTGAGGTGTACCAGGAATTATCATCTCATGTTGGATCCCATGTGACTTGCAATAGTCATTAAACAATCATGTATACTTACCACCATTATCTGATCTTATGCATTTCAATTTCCTTTCTGTCTCTCTTTCAACCCTGGCATGAAACTCTTTGAAGACATTAATCACCTGATCTTTAGTCTTCAAAGCATAGGCCCAAACTTTCCTACAAAAATCATCTATAAAAGTGACAAAATAAAGTGCACCACTTATACCAAGAACATCAATAGATCCACCATGAGTTTGTCTTCAAAGGACCACATACATCTGTATAAACACGGTCTAAGGCATGCATTTTTCTAGACAAAGCAGGACTAGCAAATGAAACTCTATGTTGTTTACCTACCAAACAATCAATACAAGGGTTCAGATGTATATCTCTGAGGTCTGATAATACCTCTCTCTTGGAAAGAGCTTGCAGCCCCTTCTTGCTCATGTGTCCTAGTCGCCTATGCCACAACTCCATACTGAAGTCTTTTTCTATAGCATTTAACTACTCACCATAAGCTTTAGCCTGCAACCTGTATAAAGTATGACATTTCTTTCCATTAGCTATAACAAGAGAACCCTTACTGAGCTTCCATTGCTCTTTGTGAAATCTGCTATCATAGTCTTCATCATCTAGCCTTCCAACTGAAATTAAATTTAGCCTCAAGTCAACCACATGCCTCACATCCTTAAGCACCAACTTGCAGCCAAGGTTGGTCTTTAAATGGATATCACCTATGCCTATGATGTCTGCTGTGCCATAGTTGCCCATCTTGACAACACCAAAATTTCCAAACTTGTATGTAGCAAAAAACTCCCTCCGTGGTGTAGCATGATAAGAAGCACCTGTGTCAATCATCCACTCAAGATCCTGACACACATAAGAAAAAATATCATCAGAAGGAGACAAAATCAAATAATTACCACCCTGCATTGTAGTTGTGATATTATATTTTGACTCTATAGACTCCACTTCTTTTCCCTTTTTCTTACTCTTCTTAGGTTGCTTATATTGGTTCTTCTAATGTCCTTTCTCACCACAATTATAGCAAACAATATCTTTTCTTGATATTGACTTACTTCTACTCAAGCGTGAACTGCTTCTAGACTTTGACCTTCCTTTGTTCTCTAAGATAAGTGCTTGTGAATCATTCTGAGATGTTGCCGAACTCTTTCTTCTCAACTCTTCATTCAACAAATTGCTTGTTACTTGACTCATAGTGACAACACCATCTGGCGTAGAATTACTGAGGGAAACCACTAGTGTCTCCCAACTTTCTAGTAATGAACTGAGAAGTAACAATGCCTGCAACTCATCATCAAGAGACATTTTCATTTAGGATAACTGGTTAGTAATACTTTGCATTTCATTCAAATGTTTAGCAATATAAGCACCTTCTCTATATTTTAGGTTCACAAGTTTTCTAATAAAAAAAAGCTTTGTTGCCTGTTGTTTTTCTTTCATAGAGACTTTCCAACTTTTTCCAAAGAGAATATGCAGAAATTTCAGTAGAAACATGGTGAAAGACACTATCATCAAGCCACTGTCGAATAAATTCAATTATTTTTCGATCTAACATCTTCCACTCATCATCTATCATAGTTGTGGTTTTGCACTATCCCCCTGCAAAGGTCCATACAAATCTTTGCAATACAAGAGATCTTCCATTCTTGGTTTCTATATCATCCAATTGTTTCCATTTAAACTAATCATACGATAAACATTACTGGCCTCCATGTTCAAATATAAAATTTAAATCACCAAAACCCTTTGCTCTGATGCCAGTTGATGGAGATATAAACAGGAATAACCTTTGTATATGAACAAATACTAAAAGACCATAATACGCAGCAGAATTAAATGGAACCACAATCAAATAGAACACCAAGATATATGTGGAAAACCCCTTCAATGTGAAGGGTAAAAACCACGGGGCAAACTAGAGATAATCCATTATGAGAATAATGAATATACAAATCTCAATCTCTTACCCTAAACCCTAGCAATAATCACAAGAGAATAATTGGATACAAGGATCACGTCACTGCCTACAATATCTAAAACCTCCCCAAGTAATCACAGCAAGAGTCTACTGTAGATTTGATCTAACCTGAGATGAGAACACTGCTAGATGATTGAGAACAGCCTCTCTACGTTGTCCTTGTCTTCTTCCATTTCTTTCTCTTCCTTTTCTACCTTGTTTTCCTCCTTTTCTTTGGAATCCCGTGACTATTGCCTTCTCCCACGTTGCTGTCCTATTTATACCTTTTTCTGCATCTAAAACGCAGCCACCACACCTCCTCTAATGTTAATTAGGGTTAGGTTAAGAAGGGGTGAGCTGTGGGTTGCTCAAACCCACTATGAGCTGAATTTGTGGGCTGCAGCCCAACAATATTTTTTATATAAGATGGTTTTAATTAAGTTATGAGTCTATATATCTTAGTTTTATTATTAAAGGTGTCAAAAATACTGTAAATCTATTTAAAAATGTTATAATTGATAATATAAATTTTATACGTGAGAATTGTGTCGATTCTCATGGATTATGGTCCAATGAACCAATCCGTCTGGTCCAACTGTCCTATCAAGCGAGCATTTTATGGATTATGATAATTGGAAGGTGCTTCTTGGTACTTCACCCTAGTTTTATCACCGGAGTGAAGAGTACACATTACATATCAATCACAACTCAGGACGATCATTCAATGGGCATTCACGCTATTCATTTATCAGCACTGTCTCTTCTACTACTGAATCTAATGAGGATTTTTAGATCTACATGCTTAGGTTCCACCGAAAAGACTTGCTCAAAGTCTATGAATTCGTTAGCATTTGGACACACCAATTTCTAATGCTAGCTGTTGCTGATCTGAATAAGATCATGGTTAGATTGATGCACCTACTGAATCATTTTCCATCAAACACCTGCATGTATTAAGATGGTAGGTAAGCTAACCAAGTTGACTTGGCCATGGAAGTTAATCTTGCACAATACATTATGCCGGCCTATTAGAAGCAGACATATTAATTTCATCATATATCATGTAGTTTTGCTTTATATATTATCATCACCATCAAGTTTGAATTCAACATTTGATTCTGCTTCAGCCACTTTAAGATCATAATGACAACAGAAGCTACAGTGAAGGCACAAGCAGCAAACTGGAAAGCCCTCCAACTGAATGAACAGCAGTTGCACCTTGAAAGCCTTCTCCATCCACATCATGAAGTTAAGTAGGTTTCAGGTCCTGAAACATGGACTCCCACCTGGTCTCCTCTCCGCTGCTCCCTCGGTGGCTGTCCTCTTTTCTGTCCTTACTCTCCTTATAGGCCATGGCTTGTGGTGCCATATAAAGCGTCACCCTCCCTTGCTTGATACGCGACATCCTCTTGTTCCTCTTCAACATATCACTCTTCGGCCCTCCTCCATCGAAGTAGGACGACCTCGGGACGACGACGATGGGCGAAGCGTCATGATTGATGAACGACCGGAAGTACCTCGCGATGCAATTCTTGGTCTTGGTGACAGCGACGAGAAGCAAAGAGACGGGGCGCGACGACGACTTTGTCTTACCCCTTTTGGCTAGCTTAAGCATCTCGAGCCTGTGCTTAGCAATGGAGATGCCCATGCTCTGAAGGAACTCGTGGTCGAAGTGCGCAACATCGTCCTCCTCGACCTCGTTGCTCGCTAGGAGCAGCGAGTACTCGTAGACGAGGTCGGGATCGAGGTTGGTTTGAAGAAGCCAGGAGTACCAGTCCATGGCGTCGTCGTTGCTGTCTCAAGTACTTGAGGGGGGATGAGGCGGAGTGGTTATATGGATTGAGGGAGGAACAGTAAGGGGGAGGCTCTGCAAGCCAAGGGTTTAGCCGTTCAATGAAGTTGGTGGGCTTATTGGATTTATATTGCTTGGTTGGATGGTTGTGTTGGTAGAAATGAAGGCAAGTTGGTGGGAGGAAGCAAGGTGAGGTTGCCCAGTGTTTTCATAAAAGCATTCTTAGAACTTATGTGAGACCATGGAGACATGGAGTCTCTATATCACTTCACCAAACCATTACAAAAGATATCCCTTTCATCATAACTCAATAAAATATTGGAGTTTAGTTAGAGGATCAGTTACCTATCTACAACTTTTGAATGCATGAATTCCCTATACTCGTGTATTATCTTATGATCCTAAAAGTATACCTTTATATACTACACATTTTGTTGAAAGGTGACAATTTATCGAAGAAAAGCTTCTTGGATTGTGTTATAAGAGATAGAAGACATGAAGAATTATTGAAGAAGCTATATTGCATTGACATATTCTCTTCCTATTTATACAGGTTGAGATGGAGGATTTTCCTCAATAGAGTAGAGAGATTTTCTCATACAGTTAGGAAAATCTTAACTGTTATCATGCCCCCACAAGATGATGCTCCTATCAAGGACACCAATCTTGGAACAATGCAATGCAAAAAGTTTACGAGCGAGAGGCTTCATGAGTGAGTCGGCTATTTGATCAGTCGTATGCACATGAGAAACACGAAATTGACGACGGACAACTTGATCTCGCATAAAGTGGAAGTTGATAGCAGTATGTTTCATGCGGGAGTGGAACACCAGATTAGCGCATAGATAGGTAGCTCCGACATTATCATAATATATTGTAGGAGTGGAATTGATGTTGAGTTCCTTAAACAGATTTGTTACCCAATTAAGTTCTGCAGTGGCAGTGGCGATGGCATAGTATTCAGCTTTAGTTGTAAACCATGCAACTATCTTTTGCTTTTTAGAACTTCAACTAATTGAATTAGCACCAAGGAAGAAATATATCCCGATGTGGATGTTCTATCATCAAAGTTGCCTGCCCAATCGACATTGGTAAAGGCATGAAGATGAAGTGGAGAGTGTTTATGAAGAAAGAGACCATGATTGAGGGTCCCTTTAAGATATCGCAAGATTCGTTTGACCACAGACCAATGCATAATAGACAGCCTCTATATAAACTGTGATAATTTATTGACTGCACAAGAGATGTCTGGACGGGTGAGAGCTAAGTACTGTAAAGAGTCAACGACTTGTCAATATTGAGTGGGTTCCATAGCAGGACTTCCATCAGATATTTTGAGAGAGATACTAGTAGAGAGAGGAGTTAGAACCGCATTTGCATTCTGCATGTTTGTCTTTGATAATAAATCTTGAATGTACTTTCTTTGTGATAGAAAGAGAGATGAAGATGTGAATATAGCTTCTGCACCCAGAAAGTAGTTCAAGAGTCCTAGATCTTTAAGTGAGAATCGATCTGCCAACTGTTTAATGAATGCTTGGATGTCTATAGGATTATTGCCTGTGACAATAATGTCATCCAAATATACTAGAATATATATTGTGTCTCCATGGTGTTGTCGTATAAATAACGAGGTATCAGATTTGGAGTTAAGTGTTAGGATCGAGAGCACGTAA